AAGCTCACACTTCAGCAAGGAAGACATTTCTGAACTGGGTCATAGCAATCTCCTTCTGCATAAGTACGAGAGGAGACAGGGCTGACAGGCTGCTGCTGCCCCAGTTATAACAGGTTTATAGTTAGGTGCCCGTGAGTCCATTTTCAAGCATACTGTCCCCTGGGGGCTTTCTGGGCTCTAATTTTTAAGGAAGAGGAGGAGCTTGCTGGCAAAATGGTTCAGGGGTTGGTGGTGGTTTGAGCTCACCATGGGAGAAAGATTTGATGGTTTGATTTCGTAAAGGGACCCTCCTAGGAAGCCCTCGGGGGCAGGTCCCTTCTGTCACAGAGTGGCGACGTGTAAAGTCACCACCAGTTCATAATCTTTATGGAAACCGAGGGCCAGGTCTTTCTCCCTTGAGCCACTGGGTGGATTCGAAATGCCAACCTTTCAGTTAGCAGGTAAGCACTTAGCCATGGTGTGAACAGGGCTCTTTATACTAGGGTTCACTGGAGCCAAGTTCAGGATTTGAGGAGTAGCTTTTATGTGCACAGCCCTGCTTCAATAACTGACTGTGTTTCTGTAGAGCTCCATCTGACAGAGTTTGGAGCAAAGTATTACCTGCACCATCACAGGGCTGATGGGAAACTTAAAAAAAACCCTTACCAGTTCATACCTCTTCTGTGCCAACTTTTCAAGCTAGGCACTGCATTCTTTCTACCTTTAATAGCCTATAAAGCATTCCTAATTGTACAAAGGAGGAGAAGCCTGCTCACAGCCACACCCCCAGAGGCAAAGTGAGGGGTGGAACCAGGCCTGTTGGGCCCCAGGGAGCACCCCCTTCTTAATGTGTGGCACCGACCACCTCCGTAAGTGTGACAGCTCAAAATTTGGAGCTGCTCCCCATGGAAGATGGATTCTTAGGTCTCTGCTGGTGAAGGGATTAGATTCCATAGCTGGGAAGATAGGAGTAGTAACTCAGCACCTAACTGGATTCGTTTGTTTTTTTTCAATCATTTTATTGGGGGCTCGTACAACTCATCACAATCCATACAGACGTCAAATTGTATAAAGCACATTTGTACATTCGTTACCCTCATCATTTTCAAAACATTTGCTCTCCACATAAGCCCCTGGTATCAGGTCATTTCCCCCCCTCCCTCATAAACCCTTGATAATTTATATTTTGTTATATGTTATGTCTCCCTTCACCCACTAGTTTGCTTATTAAAGACTTCTTAAGTTATGAATTCCCTGGAGAAGTGAATACATTTCCATCTCCCAGGGAATAGAGAAAATATGAACACCTTAGGGCAGCCCTAATGTGCTAATGGTTTAAAACAAGATGGCAGTGTCGGGATGCCCTCAGACCTAGGCAGTTTAGTAACATTTAGTGCCTGGAGGAGAAAAGGGTGGGAACCACACAGGGGGAGTCGGGGAGCAGGGCTGCACAAAGGATTTCTGCAACTCTAAGGCAAAATGACAGTCCGCATGTTCCGGCATCTCCCATGCTGGCACCAGGGAGCCACACTGCTCACACAGCACTGGGTCTTCAGCATCCAGGAGACTCGGAGTGGGCACAGCCTCTTGAGGCGCACCCAAAGCTGACGGGGTGGCTACGGAAGCGTGTGGGAGCTATTTGGAGCTTCGTCAGTGGGTCCTTCCTGGGTTCAACACCTCTTCACAAGCCCACACGTGGCCTGGGGAATCGGTCGGAGAGTGGTTTGGGAACCCATGAGGGCTGGAGCTGGGCTTTTGTGGAGAACAGGAAACAAGGATTACTAAGCTGTTTCTGTTTTAGGGCTTCCAGACTCTCAACCCCTTAAGCCTAACTGGTCTGGAAAGGCAGTGCGGGTGTGGATGGTGCCTTGGTCACGGGGCCTGGGTGATGGCAGTCAGAGATGAGAAAGAAGCTTCTTTGCCTTTCTGCTTCTCTGCAGCTTTTTGGAAAGATTCCAGGGCATTGGGTGCTTTCTTGGTGGCTGCTACGGATGGGCCACTTCCCTGGGTCTTAGCTTCTGAACTGGCACCTGGCACCTTTGACAGAGAACTTGGGTCACTGCTCAAGAAGATGGTGATGTCTGTGCCAGACCCAGGGCCACGTGGAGGCAGAGAACTTGGAGGCAGAGAGGGAAAGCATCGTGAGGGGAGGGGACCACTGTGTTTGGATCCCAGAAGTATTACAGTTCCTGATGACAGCAAACGCGCACTGGTTCATCTTGTGTGCGCCATAGTGGGTGAGGGTACAACAGCAGCGCAGGCTGCTGAGACAAACACATGTCTCCTTGTATCTGAATGCTCACAGGCAAATGAGTGGCCACCGTGTCGTTATCATTTAGGTCCTTGGTCAGTCTCTCCTCCAGTTCCTGGGCTAATTGCAAAAGCCACCACTGTACCTGATCCCGAGTAGCCAGGGCTGTTTTCCCTGGGAAGTTCTTGTTACAGCCAATGGTTTCGGGTAGTTGCCTGGATTTAACTGGATCATGCTCAATCCATCGGCACAAGGCATATAGCCAAGACCCATTCTTCTCCCCAAAATGACTCTAGAGCTGAGCTTCAGTGAACGGGGTCAGTTACCCATGTATTCTATCCCCGGGATTTCGATGACAGGAGGCCCTGAGCTTTCCTCCGAGGCTATTCGCTGTTACCTCAGTAATAGGATAAGCCCTACTGTCAAGGGCATGTCATTCCTAGAGTCTACTTGGTGATTCATTTGATTTGGCTCCTTTTCTTGTGCCCACGATGAGAGCAACTCAGCTAGCCCAGGTACCTATGTGCCCTGGCGTGTTATTTATTTTGCTACCAGGCATTTGGCTGAAGAGCTCTGGGACCCAGCCGTGGGAGACCAGTGTCTGGCAGTTGGGCTTGTTTAATCCACGGGCCAGTTTTGCCAGGACCTTGTTGTGGAAGATTCCCACTGAACACTGGAAGCCTGTCTGCCGTTCTGTGACCCTGTAAGCACGAGCTTCACAACTCACTGCAATTATTCCCCCACCCTTCCATGATTTGTACCGCACAAGGCGATTCCTTAAGTGAGGGTTTTGTCGTTGCTCCACTTGGACAAAAAGTCGTCCACATCCACCAGAGCAACCATCCGATCCTGTCCAGGGTAGCTGGCGGCCACCCTCAGGACAATCCCAGTGTCTTAACTATGTTTCTTCTTCACGAAGCTTCGAGCCGAATGTTGTTCCCAGCCACTGCTTTACCGTGAAGGCCCACAGGCAGCACGAGAAGCCACGCTATGCTCTCTTACCGCGGTGAGAAGCACCTGTCAGAACCGTCCCAGGCAGAAGCCGTCCCTGGGAGGCTGGAAGGGTCTCGACTTTCTTGTCGCCTTTCCAAGGGTAATCCCAGAGTCCAGCAGGCATTCGCACGGAAGGGGTCCAACCCAGGCCCAGGCACTGTATGGCGAGCACTTGACAGATCCTATACTGCAAATTTTAACCCTGGAAAATTTATAACTATTTCAGACCCCTATTGGAGTATTACTCGCTTGTTCATTTGGAAAAAGGATTCCCCAGGCCTCATAAGCTTAAAGCAAAAAATCATTCTGTACACCATTCAAATGGAAGAGGCTTTTATTTGTAAAGAAATGAACTTACAACAGATCTACAATATATTATTGTAATATAAACAACATAAATAAATGGGATCCTGTAGGCCCACTAAATCTCCCATCCAGACCCACACGAAGCAGTGTTACAACAATACTCTATGTGAAAATGTGCAGGTAACAAAGGTGCAATTACAAGCAAGTTTAAGCAGCAGAGTATAAGGTGCTTTCATTTAATAGTTAATGTTGCCATCGACAAACATTTAAATGTTCAATTTTACTTCACTTGATACAGACACAACAAATATGAATATCTAAACTCCATACACATGCGACTTGTTAATATGAAAGTGCTCTCTTTTTTTAAAAAAAATACACCAAATGGACAATATTTTTACATAGATCATGGTGTGCTCTTATAATGTAAAATTAACTTAATGGTTTGTTTGCTTTTTTTTTTTTTTTAGGTTCTACATTTTAAAACTGTAGCTATCAACACCAATCTAAGAACTCTAATGCTAAGGGTGCTAAAACTATCCCATTTTTTGTAAGGAGGACTAAAATACAATAGTCAATGTAAAGGAGACACGTGCACATAATCTTAACATTTGTTTCCTGTGACGAGAAAGACGTGTTTTCTTCCCCCTTGGCGGTACCTTTACTCATGCTGGGCGGATCATCTTGAGGACTTCCTCATGTGTAAGTCTCAGAACAATGGGGAGGAACCAGGAGGAATATGAAAAGTTAACAATTAAAAAATGAATAACCACACAATTTGCCTTTGCTCATTTTTTAAATTTAGCAAGGAAGAAGACAAAAAGCCCATTTCAACAAAGGCGTTTGAAATGCTGGCCACCACTGTCCACAGCCGCCCCTCCACCCCGCCACGTGGCCGCCTTCGCCGCCAGTACTGTTGCCTGACTCTGAACACAGCCTGCCATCCCTCTGGCACCTGGGCCCGCGACGGGGAACACAAGAGCACGGCCTGGACCGACTTCTACACAGAAACCGACATCATGCACAACCCTGTCTCTGCACCTTCAGGTGACTTGCAAAGCTGAAGCGTACAGACACAGAAGGTGTTTACGCAATGGCTACTTTAACAGCTTGAGATACGAGAAAAGTTAGGTAAACTAGCCTGTTTTAGAAGTCATTTTTACCAAATATCAGGCAACTAGTGTTTAAAACCCCCGACTATCTGGCTCCATGGGTTTTAGTTCCTCTTTTGAGTTTGGTATAGACTTATTTGGACATTTTCTTGCTTTTAAAAGCGGCAACAATTCTGTCTGTATGACACTTTCCATATGTATCTTTAGGGGACCTTCATATGTAAAAGTGTGTCACCAGGAATTGCAGACAGAGTCACAGACTCCCAGAGCAGGAAGAGACAGACCTTGGCCCAGTTCAGTCCACGTTCCTCCTGGCACCGTGCACGGCCCAAATACCCAGCCATTCAAGCATGGAACTCATTTATGCGACCAGGTCTGCACTTTAAAGAACATCTACCCCTTTCCTATGTGGAACATTTGCTTTCTATTACTGAGTCTTAAAATGTGGGCATTTGTGTTAACCTTAAAAATAAAGTAAAATGCAGGCCATTTTCTTGCTTTAAAAACAATCCTATCCCAGCAATCTTTTGTTGTTGTTTTTAGAAGTTGCTACATTGGCAATATTCTATATAAAACCTTTGAGGTACAAAAATGTACGATTTAAGTCAATACCACCTGCTTCCTCTTGTCCTGTCACTCATCTGGTATAGCAGCACCTCTGGAGCAGACTGAGTGCCACGATAATGCCATCAAACACTACCTATCGCAGTGGCCTGACAAGTCCTACCCTTACTCTTGGAACTTAGCTGGGCACAGAGCTGCCTGCTGTTTCTCCGGTGAAATGTGTTCTAGGGACTGCGGCGTGATACCCGCAGACCCCTTCACCTAATCCAGCGTGGGAAGCTTTTCTTGACACTTTGCTAGTTCCTTCATCACATACAAGCACACACTGCACACAGTTAGTCCTCAGCTGGTCTGCCGGTGGAGTGACTCTATGAATACCGCGGGGACAGTACGCTTAGAAACTGCCCTCACTGGTCGAACCGGGTGAATCTGAATTCTTAGAGAACAAAGACTGAGACCCTGGGAATGGACACTTAAGTATCTTTTAGCAAAAGCTCTTTAACTATCAACACTGAAGCAGTAGATGGGAAGAGAGAACTACGCAGAAGCAACTTCAGGAATGCCCCCACTCTGGGCCCTAGAATCAGAGCTTCAGAACTGGATGGTGCCTAATGATTTAAAACAAACGGAAAATTCTGAGTAGCAGAGTCACCAGACGGTACGTCTGGGAGTGAAGGCTGAGGTGAAAACGAGGTACCTACCACCCCGGGGTGTCATACAGGGACCCACCTGGCCTCAAGGCCGAGGGGTTTCTTCTTCGCTCTTCAAGTGAATTCACAGATTTACGTGATCTACGGTTTACTACTCAAGTAGCTTATTACTCATTTACTACAACCTAAAACAAAAAGAGTTACTTTTAAGGAAGCAATCTAAACAAAGACTTTAAACAGGTGACACTTCTGGTTTACTTGAGGCAAGACTTAACAACTCCACCTTTCTAAAACGTCTAAAGACGTTTATTTCACAAATGTCAAAGCCACGTGGCTTTTCATAGACACCAACTTTTCTACTTCAATCAATTAAAGTGCCACTTCACATGGGTTTAAGATTGATTAGTGGTATGTGCAGTATAACTTCTAGGCCAATAAATGATGGCTGCTCTCAATCCCTAAGATGCCTGGACTCGCTTTCAAGAGTAGGTCTCAAAGGAGCTGCTAGGTTGCTCTTGTATGTATAGCTATACCATGTTATTACATACTTGTTTATGTAATTATGTAATTAAGGCTCATTCATTACTACTAATTTTGAAGAATGCATTTAGAAACACTTGCACAAGTGTTCTTTCTCTAGATTCATACCGAATGCCCCAGTGTCACAGAACAATAATGATAACTTTTGAAAGGCAGTAAGAAAAATTTTTTTCTCTAAAGTATAAACCATTAGCCCAAATCTCATTTTGTACTGCCTTTCTAACCTTCTGAGATGAAAACTGTCACTTTCGTTTCCCATTAAAGTACAGAAGCTATAAAAAGGGCGTAAATAACATTCATTGAAAAGCTTTCCCCAAAGGATCTACAAACGTGGAACTTACAGCAGAGGGGGGTGTTTAAAATGACCTCCAAAAGCGCACAGTACGAGAGAAGGGTGTTCCTCAGAGAAGCTGGGCTTCTGACCGATAAAGAAGGGGGGCAAACTCCCTTCGAATCTGCTTTTACCACAAAGTTCAGAAAAATACTTCTGCTGGGATAGGATGGTGATCATTGTATTAAGGCTTTACTTTACAGCTTAAACATTTTCTTGGAATTTAATTTTAAAATAGGTTAAGCTCTAAAAATTACATAGTAAAACTTTGAAAATTCTCAGAAATTTAGGAAATGTTTTCTCAAAGGAGAGAATGTTATTTAAAACTTCTTAGCTGCAGAAAAGGCTTGTACTGCTGCTATGAAGGAAATTGTATACTGACGTGTTTTATGAATCTCTAACAAAAGAGGACTGTCTTCCCAAGGAATTTTTTTTTAAACGATGTACAGCTTAACAAATTGAGATTAGAGTTCAGTAAATTTCAGCATGCTTACTTTAATCCTGTATTTGTGCTTATCTAAATTGAATCGCAATCTTGGTGATGAAATCAAATGTCCTAGATTTGCAAAAGTCCAAAATTGATAAATGTCGGTGTAACCACTCATACCTGCCCTGAGTCACACTCCTGGAGGGAGGCTGGCACGGACTGAAACCCAGACTCATTAAGCCCAGTGAGGCCCAACATGACAAATGAAATTACTATTTTTAAAATGCCTTTCTTTATAACAGTCTACATGGTTGGTTCAATTGTGATATTTGAAAATGGTATTTCTCTATAACTCTGATGATACAACATTAGCAACATCATTAGAGCTACGTAAAAGGGACTTTGAAAGTTCGTGCAGAAATTCCATTTCGATCCATTTTCTGCCCCACAAACTTTTTGAAGCTCCTTCATAAATATTTCAAAGGGCAGGGTCACCTGACAGCGAGAGCAAGATACTAGGTGAATCATGACAAAACAAAAGCTGTCACCTTTTTGTCACTATAACTGATATCCAACAAAGAAACTCTTACTTTGCACTGCTGATGACAGCTATGGCCTATATGACCTCAGTTAACTGTACTAGCCTCTTGGGTCTGAAATGTTTCTCCTTCTAATCCCCTCCTCCTTGTCTTAACTGTTTTATTATGCGGTGCACCCCCATGCTGTCCCAAGCCCTCTCCAGCCCACCTAGTGGGCCCAGCCACCTTTTGTATACATGGGCTAGTCTCCACTGCCCAGGCCTCACTGCCCTGACTTTTGGTACCACAACGTCTCTCATTGAAGACAGTTTCCCTGCAGAGTCCTCAGGCCAGGGAGAGTACAGTGAAGCAAAGAGCACGTGGGGCCCTTGGTGCCATCAGGTGATGTTCCCTGCCAGGCTCTGTACAGACAGCGTTTGTTCTGGAACTCCCTACAGGTACAAACCATCAAACTAAAATGTCTCCTGCAAAAAGGTATAACTGTGTGTCCTGACAGGAGTTCATTTCACCCCGGGCTCTGGCTATTGGGACAGCCTCATTTGCATACACCCAGAGTAGTTTGTAATTCCCCAAACGGTGGTCACTCATCTCTGACTTTAACCATGTCCGACTTGTTACAGAACCAACTGTTTGAGGTATGGTCACAGGACTGGTTTCAGACAGTGCTAGTGTTTCAGCAGACCCCAAAATAAAAATCAACAGTGGACACCTGACAGAGACAATAATTTCTAAGAAATACTAAGATATTCATGTCAAAAGTGCAAACGGTCACGGTGAAGTGGGCTAGACCAAGTGGAGTGGCGGGCTTCCTGCCTCCCTCCCTGCCCTACGCTGCCCACCAACATTCCTTACCACTCACCCCACCGAGGAAAACCAGAAACACCGACTTAGACGATGCCACGCAAAGTGAAAGTATCGTGGAAGTAGCTGCATGTCACCAAGGAGGTGACTGGTGCTGGGGCGGTGCCATGCCCACTGCACTGCTGTGCTTTACGCAGGCCTACATTAAGGTCAAGGAAAAGGTGAAAATTACTAACCAGCTCATTCAAGTTAGTTTCCTGTCCCAGGAAAAGAAGGGCTTAAAAGTAAATGTCAAGTTTGTGTTTCCCTCCCAATGGGAAAAGAGTGCATTAGTTAATCAGAAAATGCTAATTTGAAGGAAAAAAATCCCCCTACCCGTCACTCTCTCCTAAATCAAGAAACAACAAAAAATTGATAATAAAGAAAAAACCGCACCCTCCCTGCCTCTTTCCCCCAGTAAATTGCAACAGCTGTGCTGCAAGCTCCGGCGTGAGGTGGACAGCAGGGTCAGCATCTCCGTGGTCATTCAGCAGAACGGAAGCTCTGGAACCGGTGAAGAAAGCAAAGGAGCCACTCGTAGCTAACCCAGATCATTGGAAAAAAGCAAGTATCTCCTTGGGGTATGTTCTGAGTGGGGACAACATGATCCAGACTGTTCTTATGATTACACATTAATTATAAATGAACTCTGAAAGCCCATCCTGGATACTTAACACTGTCGTCAGTGGGCACGGGCCTTTGGACAAGTACCTGATGACTGATCCCAGAGCAAGTGAAGAAAAGGAGCCCCTGCCACACCTGCAGAGAGAAGCCTCCAAGGCCCCTGACCACAGTGATGGTCAACAGTCACCCACGAGAGTCAACTCACCTCATCCATTTTTGTATGAATTGCTCGTGGGTTACCTCTGCTAACTGTTTTAATTCAAGGGAAGGGTTTGCTCTGTGCACCCCACCCACCCTGGGCTATCTCCCACTAAGGCTTAGCCTAGATTTGGGTTCTGAAATTGACAAGATGATGAAAGGACACTGTATTCCAAAGTCAAACGTCTGGCAACTAACGAATGAAAACTGACTACAGAGTGCCTGCCTTGCCTTGAAATGTTAATCCCATATTTGAAAATGTGATATAAAGAAATATGTAACACAGACACAAGCTATTGTAGGTCTGGAACATGAGCCTCATATTAATTATACTACACATAACTATTAGTAAACATCTTTTTTTCTCTTAAACAGTACTACACAAAAGAATCTCACAAAGCATACATTCAAACAAGAGGCATCTAAAAGATTAAAAAAAGTACCCGCTGTATTTCTGTATAAAAATAATCAACAATCTCTAATGTACACAAAGCCAAAAGATAAATATCTGTGACGTCTCCATTGACATCTTTAGTCGTCTTCTAGCTCAACACAATCTTTCTGCAAAGAGCAGTGGAAATGAGTGACACTCACGGACTCCCTCCCTCTTGACTGCACTTGTGCCAAGTGTCTGTGTCTGTTCCTTCAATTATCAAAACACCGCACTATGCGGTGTAAAATCAATGGTACGCAATGACTGAACCGAAACCTGCGTCATCTTCACAAATAAACTCTTTGACATCCAGGACTAGAAAGCTCCCAGAGCTACCACAAATGACTTTGTCTAAGCGTCATAATTCTAACTTTGCTCAGTGAAAGATTTTGCATTAAAAATTTTCCTAAAACATACTTGGCAAAAGGAGATCCTTCCTCCCAAGAGATATCACTTGGTAAGTGCTTTGCTTTGCAGGAAACACGAAGGGCCTAAGTAAAAGAAAAAGGAATGTGCATTCTAGCTAGACCCAGTGTGTTCCATATTAGGGTTAACCAAGAACCATCCTGTGTCTTCACAAATGATCATCTTGTTGGTAAAGGCTGGGCACTGGTCACAATATAATGATCATATTACGCCTTCGTCAGTGCAGAGGAGCACAGAGATATGAACAATAATTAACATGAAGGAGGACTTTCTGACAGTCAGGTTATCTGGAACTAGGTTTCATTTTGTAGCCAATCCAACAGAGACCTCCCCTTTTGTCCTAGTATGCATACAATTGAAAAGGTACTTTAGCAGACTAGCAGACCGTTAATGTTATCTAAACAATACTTCCATTGTATGTATGTCTTACTAGGCTTCACCATTATAAATCTCTTTGGGTGAAAAAGAGCAAGGCTTAACATTCTTCATTTTACATCAGGTTTCTCAACTTTGGCACTACTGGCATATTAGATGGGCTAGCCTCTGTTGGGGGGCTGCCTGTGCACTGTAGGGGACTTTAACATCCCTAGCTTCTACCCACTAGATGTTAGTAGCAACTTTTCCCCTCCCAGCCCCAAGCTTTACCTGGAGTGATAAACTAAAATGAAAATGTCTCCAGGTATAGTCATATGTCCCCTGGGGAGCAAAACTCCCCTTGTCTGGGGAACCACTGCTTTCCATGTACAAAAAATGAGAGAACACCAATTTTCAGTCAAAACCAAAATCTCAGTCAAATTCAGATAGAGACCAAATTCCAACTATCTGGCTTCCAGATCAGTATTGTTCATGCTAGAATCCTTAAAATAGGCAGAGCATTTGCCTAAAGGATGAGTTTGTTTCAAATGCACACTGATACTTGTTTACATTTCCAGCCACTGGACTCCTAATTGTTCGTAACACGACCACCTTTAGAAAACTAAGCAAATAGGATACAAAACTGTATAACAAAAACAAACCAAAACAGGAGAAATGTAAATCATTAAATTACTTTTCAAATGATATTAATGCAAACATTACTTTTAAAAAATTATCTAATACAATGAGTTTGTTTGAAAAATATCGTGACCTGCTCTAACAAGTCTCTTGTGATTTCGCATGAAACCTGTAAGATGAATCTCACTACATACAATGAATTATTTTACCTGTGAAGAAATGCCAGCATTTATTTGATGAAGAGATCCCAGTGTGCTCGGCTGTCCACCACAAGGGTCACGTTCTAGGCAGACTGGGCCTTTACTATACAGGTCTGCTTGAGAAGACCACAACCGCAGTGTCGCAGAGCCTCGCAGTTCTGTTACGGTTCCTTCAGAGAGTTGATGCGCGCACAGATCTTTAGGGCTGGGCCCAGCTTGATATTCATGGCACTCATGAGGTGGTCTTCTTTAAGCAGAAGAAGGGCCTGTCCATCAATCTCCTGTGCTCTGAACTCATCTGCAATATCCTGGCAGCCTGGAATTGAAGCAATGGAAGGAAGTTAGAAGTAATGCCCAGCAACCAGGCGTCACTGGTCACAGTCACAGCTATGGACTCACTGGGTCTAAGTAGCTGAAATACAGGCTGAGGAGTGAATGGAATTTATTACGGTGGCCTTGGGTTCACCCCTGAAGGAGAGGGTATTTGTTGAAATTCTGAAAGTAAGAATTCAAAATCTAGGAAAGGCAATTTAATTGGAATTCTTATTCTAAGGGTAGTATTACAAAATTATTAGTTAGTAATTAACTAGATCAGTCTAAAGAGCATTAGTTAGTAATTAACTAGATCAGTCTAAAGAGCATTTTCTTCATGGAAAGGACTATGATGTCATCCCAAAGAATTCCACAACATACAGCAGGTCTGGATGAATTAGTTCTAATGCCTCAGGAATGTCACTTTGCTTAGCAATCGCCTGACATCAAAGGAGTCAAACTCCCTGCCAGCCCATCGATGCCGACTGTAGGGCAGGCTGGTAGTGCCCCGGGGGTTCCCGAGACTGTAACTCATTACAGGAGTAGAAAGTCTCATCTTCCCCCTTGTAGTAACTGGTGGGTCATTTCTAACTGCCGATCTTGCAGTGTGCAGCCCAGCGCATAACCATTATGCCGCCAGGGCTCCCTCTACAGAAAAGCAGAGGCACGAGATAGAGTGACTCCTGTGCAGTCAGAACCTGTGGGAGGTGGAAACGTGTCACAGAACGCAAACATCTCCCACCAAACAGAGCAACAGACGAGCGGTAAGGCTGCACTCTGTCAAAGGCGGACAACTAGTGAACCGCTAAACCACCAGGCAGGACCGATGAGTTCTGGTTCTCACAGGTCTCACTGAATGCTTTCTGCCATTAAATAACAACCTAGAAATGTGTTCTCAAGTGCCAGGGTGTCATGTTCAGTATTACTTGTACGTTAGTCTAATTTACAACCTTCCATTGATAAGCACTTCTAGAACATGTTTTCTGCTCACTCAGAGCAGATCCATCAAGATTACTGTTATCTATTGCCAAGCTGATCCAACAGCATGACTTCACTTGTGGTTTTAACTCAGTGTCACTGATAGGAACCAGCCTTGTCATAACTTTTGATAAGAAAACACATTCTCATTGAAATTATGAGTTTGCTGGCTAATACTTTTGTAGGTTCCAACCAACCAATGTTTTAGTCAGCAGTTTAAACCAGGTACCTTAGCAGGTCCCAAGGTTCTACGATCCACTGGAACCTCAAATATTGTTACTGCCTGCCAAATTTTGCACATCCAGGTTACTCAATACACTTCACCTTTGAGGTTAAAGAAACCAGTTGGAAAAGCAATGCATTAAGGAGCCAAGACTGAAAAGAATGTGAAAAGTGTGAAAGTTTCCTCATTAAGAGCAAAATCACAGTAAAAAGTAACAGCATTAAGTCTTCCAATTTTATTCAAGTCAGCATTCTAAGGGAAGCACAGACAAACAATGAAAAGTGAAATGGTTACATTAAGCTTCTGGATATTACAACTTTGCTAGAATGATTACCCTTCGTATTTGCAAATTAATCATCCTCAGTGCACATAACATGCAGGTGCTAAACACATTTTTAAAAATAGGTGAACTATGACTGAATCAACAGGATAAACAGTGAACAAAAATGGACCCTGCTACAGAAGAGTTTTTCCCTGTGTGTGATTATGTGGCCATAATTTCTCTTGGTTATTTCTTTTCCCTGTCTCCTCTGTACCTTGTATCTTTTCATAGGCTTTTAAATATTGGTGTTTCAGTACTTCTCTACAAAATTTTATGGTTTTGCCCATTTACCACAAAAAAACTATATAGTTAAAATGGGATTACTCACCACAGAAAAGCCCCTTTTTCTTTTCCCAGAGGTAGCTCTCAACCAAACTGGGTAGACAAAACTGACTAATCTTGCATCTAGTTGTGACTTCATCCTCCTTTTTATGAAAGAACTAATATTCTTCTCTCTTCAGTCTTACTTACAAGAACACAGGAAAGAAAAGAAGAGAGAAAGATAGAGTAGGACTTACTTAGAGTCAGAAAACAAGATCAATGAGAAGTCATAAGGATCATAAGAGCTACATTTGGGAATAGAAACAAGGAATTTTCCATGAGGAAAATATATAGTACGTTTTTGTTCTTTTTTTGTGAGATTCCTCTCAAATATGTTTTGTAGCTGGACAGTAAATATATTAACAAAATAAAGTGTTTTTTAGTCAATAGCATAATTGAATAGGAATACATTATCATCGACATTTTAGATAAATTTGACAACTACAGAGAAGGGTGGTTACATTAGTATAAAAATGAGAAAAGTTACTTCAAAGAAAAAGAGAAAATAAGTATACTTCTAGAAACTCTTTAAGGAAAAACCCTAGGAGGAAACTGGGTGCTCACAGTACATTGGGCTAATGTTCTGGAATTTCCAGCGTCAGCATCTAGTTCGCTGGACTACAACAGCTCTGAGCCCATACAAAGCACACGCCCGCTGAAGTGACGCCTACCCCAACCTCAACCCCTTGGGCTGCGGCTCAGTCACAGTGCAGTGCAGCTCTCAGTCTGGCGCAGGCCTCTGCGCACAGGTCCCCTGGACCTTGCTAAGCATCCGGCATCACCTATCCCGCCGAACACCACAACCCTACCACTTCCAACCCTGGAGCATCTCGCGTGAAAATGAATGGAAAATTAGTGAAACAGTATCACCTGCCTCTCAATGCAACAAAGAAAAGGATGTCCCAATATTATTATGGAAACCAGGAAATAGTTTTTAGAAAGCAGTCTTTCATATGCCTACAGAGAAACTAGATCTGAAGATTCACAGATAATACAGAATAAGCAAATCTTTGCAAACGGTACTTCACTATAATAAGAAAGGAAACAGCCTAAAAGTAAGAGTTGTGCCTGTACAGATCATTTTGATGCATTACCAAATTAGGAGAAAATAAATTTTCACTCTGACGATAGTTTTGAAATTCAGGGTAGCTACACATTAGCTCTCACAGGGTCCAAAGAGAATGGTGCTCAAGATGGCAGCACAGAGAGCAGAGCACTGTCGGGACCAGGGGCACCTGCCACAGAGGGGCAATGGCGCCAGAGACCACAAAGGCCACAGAGATCACAAGAGTTACAAAGAAGTTCCTCTGATAAGAACAGTTTGGGAATAGGATAATGACTACTCAGAGAGGACAAAGAAAACACACAACAGGAACAACCCGGAATGGACTCAAAGAGAGTTAAAAATAAACTTATAAAGGCCAGAAAACATAAAGAAGTGAAGATAAAGATGTTTTCTGATACAAGATTTACCATAAGCTGCAGAGATTTTACTAAGAAAAAACCTTTGAGAAAGAATATCCAACTGATTACAAACATTGGTTATTTAGTCTGCCAAAGCAGTGTGGAGATAATTTCATTTAATCTGTAAAAGAGAATTATATTAAGCAAACTGGACAAATCAATTCTAAATGAAGAAGCACACCCCTTTTAGTGCACGTCATGTTCTTTAACTGGCAACAATACTGTTGAGAGGAACCCAATAAAGCAAAACAAAATTTTTCTAACGCAAATGAAGCAAAAGTGGTATAAAGGAATTAGACTTTGTTCTAATACAGCAACTAAGAATAGTCTTAAAGCAACTGGGTACAGGGGAAATTACAAAACTAGCCCTGAAAAAGCTCCAGGGAACAAAGAATCAACAGTACCACTGTGTTGGCAATTACCTTCTGCAAGCAAAAAATCAACACCCTCAAACCCCAAATGGATGAGAAATATTTTCCCCAAATGAGAAATCAGGCTCAAAATAAGCCATGTCCATTTGGAAGACTCACGCTGTTTTGGAAACTGCCAGAATCAAAGCCCAGCCACAGGTGATGGTATAAATTCATTGTTGATTCTCAAGAGACAGACACTAACCTCAAAGTCAACTTTTGTGAATTTGTTAAATATTAAAACCACAACCAGTGAAGACTCACCACCCTCTTCATACATGAGTCTTAAAGCAGGTTCTAAATCCACATGGTTTGATAGCTATTTAAACCCTACGTCTTCTTAGACATGTGCTTAAACGCCTTCCCATGAAAAATGTATGCCCCTTTAAAACATGTCCTTATCATTCTTTCAAAGGGACCAAAAAAACCCTATTTAACATTTTTAAACAAGCTATGGATAAAATGACAAGAACACATACGGAAAGGCAAACAGCTGACAGGCTCTTTAAAGCAGTGATGTTTCGAATATATTTTCTCCACTGTCACAGTATCTTCACTGTAAGTTTGCTTTGGGAACTTTGATTAGTTTCACAGAAGGGTTAACTAACGACAACAGCTAGGTTACTTTCAGTAAGTCTGGTAAACAAATCCAAATGAGATGAATTCTTCTGAAAAGCTGTCTCAAGAGAAATGGTATGATTCACAATATAATAAAATGGAAGAAATGTTAAAGCACAACAATAAAATCACCTTGTTTTTCCTATTCATAAAGTCAAAGTGGTTGATAAGATTTACCAACTTAAAAACATACATTATCTTCATACAGAGAACTGTGGGTCCCCCTGTAAGCAAAGGTACAGCTGTCTCAAACAGCCAGCCCTTCAGAAACAGGGAATGTGGAAGACAATTCTTGCATTAAAGAAAAAATAGAGAATGTAAAGAAGACCTAGGTTGATGGAACTACCGAAATGAGAATTAAGACAGGAAAACAGTTACTCCACTACTAGAACACAGTCTAACTGAATTTTCCGCTACTACTTAAAAAAAAATAAAACTTCAGAAGTACCCTTGATGTTTACTTATTGCAAGGAATCCAAGAATGCAGCTTCTTTCAAAAGAATCAGCTTGATTAAAAAAAAAAAGAATATCAAAATTTTATCCTAGCCTAGAAGGTCTGCATTAGCTTTCAAAAATGTTTATTAAAAAAAGTCTCTCAGTTCATTTTTAAAAAGTTAAATACGGAAACCAGGAGGAGCTAGAATAGGAAAATCGAAGAGCAGAAGGAAGGAAGTGTCTGATTCAATCTCTCTACTGACCTCCGAGAGAAATCAGACTGAAGAGGAGAGAGCACCTTTATTATCTTCTCGGCTGAGCTGTCACAGTGGAAGCAGGACTAGTCAGTTTTTATCGACTTGGGGGGTATAAAAAAATACCCGGTTGTGCTGAGGGAATAAGCAAGAGGAAACAGATCACATTTCAATAGCAAAGGCCATTTGACTAAAATATATACAGAACTTTCCTCGTCCTTTTGGGGAATAGGTGTGGGCTGATCTAACATCATTCCTGTGTGTGAATGCACAAGACAAACGCTAGGCCGAGGTGGTGAGCTACATACCAGGCAGAGAATGGATGAAGGCCCAAACATCGTCAATGGTCCATATGGATGGCTCTGTTTGTGCAACGGGCAGCAAGTCACTGTTCTCTGGCATTTTCCGAATCCTCCCGTCCCGAAGCTCACGCTCTCGTTCCCGCTCGCTCTGCCTGCGCAAGCGAGTTGTCATAGCAGATGGCACAGAATCTTCATGAGAAGCCAAGTCTTCTTCTGCAGATGGATAAGTAATTGGAAGCTGGAAAATGTAGTACAAGTAAAATACAGCATTGCACTTTTCCTTGCATTTCTGAAAAGGGTATTGCATATTGAAGCAAGGTTTCTACAGACCTGCCTAAGGAGAAGTTCTCTTGCTGCCCCATCAGGGCCACTCGGACGACGGCCGCGATGCCCAAGATTTTGATTATCAGGCTTACGATTCCAACGACTAAGTGCAAATTTTTTAGAACAGCTAACATTGTACCTAAAAATTTCAAGTAAGAAAAAAACATTAAATGGTACATGGAACATGGCATGTAATATTCAATTATGACTTTAAATTGCAACTATGCTACATATTCGGTAGGGACTTCAATAGCTCATAAAAGAAGCCAAAGTGTTCACTGGATTTACTTATGCTAATGGTAAAACCATGGCCCCTGTGCATATCATACCTTAACCCAATACTGACCACCCCTACCAAGGTATTGATGCTTTCTCCAGTAAGTCTCTTTATTTTTAAATAGTTTTATTGACATTGGTTCATACATCATACACTTCCATTGTTCAGTCGTATTAAAGAGTTCTTTAAAAAAAGTGAGCTGTACAATCAGTTCTAGAACATTTTCTTTGGTAGTGGAAATTTTTATGCAAAGTACAGATGCTATCATTTTTCGTAGCTGCAAAATAATTCTAGGTCCCAGGAGAAATAAGTTTTGTACTAAAGATGTATACTCAAAGAGATCATTTCTTAAGTAATCATTTCTGAAAAGATAATGAAAATGGGTAAGGAGAGGAAAATCTCAAAGAGCTAGTAAAATATTTTTCAAGTATTATTGAAAGTGAAAATATTATCTCAAAGTGAAAATTGAAAGCTGAGACCACCTGCTTGCAAGAGCAGCTTTGAAATGGTTTGAGGCCTTGCTCTACAATATCTACGCACCAGCAAGGTTATAGAAATTTCAGACATTCAGGAAAAAGGGGGAAAACAAGAAAGCTGAGACTACCAAGTTACACTAGGGATTAATTGTTCTCACTATACAGGAAGTTCAGAAGTACGTAATTCTATAGTTCTTCAAAATTGGCTGAATGGTTATTTTTATTTTATCAAAATAGATTGCCTAGTGGTTGTGGACAGAGAATCTTATAAAGCATGATAAACATTTTAAAGAGTTCTATACCATTGACTGGGTTCCTAACTACTAGAATAGAGTTGAAGCCAGCTCACAGCAACCAAGTAAGGCAGGGTAGAAAAGCCCCTAAGTTTCATTGGCATAGAATTCATATATCTTACAATTAAATAACTCAATCACATCAAGAAGAATTGTGCAATCATCACCACAATTCATTTTGAAACATTTTCTTCAATCTTGTACTCTTCGTTATTAGTTTCCCAATCCCCTCAACCCCCACCATACCTAAGGAACCGTGAATCCAGTTACTATCTCTGTAGATTTGTCTATCCTGGGTTTCATATGCAGAAACCTGTTTTTTTAAAAACATCAACTAGCAAACTAAAACAGAGAAAAACCTCATTTGAAAAGACAGAAAATATCATTAATGAGAACAAATTTAAATGAATCATAAGGGAGATCAAATGGCAGGGTGCTAAGTGTTAACCTAACTGCGTCTGCAACAATCCAGTTTGCAATGCGTTCTACAGCACAGCAAGGCTATTCACATCCCTGGTCCACGACAGAGGGGATTCACCAGGATTAATCTATGTGTATGTCCCCTTCACTTTTTTTCCTTTAATTTGTAGGATCATTCACAGGGGCAGATTTGTAGGCTTGCCCACATCCCTCAACTACGATGGGAGGGGATTCGCCAGAGGCTCACTTCATGTGGACTTTGGACTTCCACTGTCATCCACAGCCTTCTGCAGACCAAAGATTCACAATTTAAGCTCTGATGCCATTCCCTCCCTTAGACTTGTATATTGTTTACAAGCCTTGGATAACTCAGGGTGGGGTGTGCTTCTTTCATGTGGTCTTAGTTGGTGCCTCACTTAGATGGCTGCTTGTTTGAAAACAAATCTTTAGGACCCTGTGGTAGTTACATAATCTAGTGTAAATTTGAGAGGATTATGAGTGAATGGGTGGAGTCTGGCCTGTAAATCAAGATATAACCAATGAGGCCTCTGTGTGGGCATGGTCTTCTCCTGCGAATTCCGGGAACTCTGGATTTTCCTCCTGGGAGGCAGGAGACATCTTCTCACTCCCTTGGAGACGCTCTACTGAGAAGACTGACTGCAAGACATCCCTGAGGAGAAGCCACATGGACCAACCCTGATACAGCCAGAACCTGAACCTGGAGAAGCCACGTGGAGATCCACTGAAATGCTTACCACACCACTGGACCGAAAGACTTTCTACTCACTGGCCTGTGATCGTCCTGCATTAGGCGTCATTGCATGTGTTTCATGAGTCTGAGGAGGACTTTATAGACTGGTATTGGACATATGGGCTAATAGCAGACTTATGGGTTTGGACTGGACTCGGTTGGGATGCTTTCTTAATGTACAATTACCCTTTATATAAAACTTTCTCTTATACACAAATGAGTTTCTATGGATTTGTTTCTCTAGTCAACCCGGATAACAGAGACCCCAAATGCTAATCCTTCTGATAGCTGGGCACCATCTGTTTTCTTCACCAGCTACCGTAGTCATACCTTCAGTGATCTCTCTATAAAGGGGAGCCTCAAGAGGGACATGTAATAAGAACCAATTGTTCTTAGATTGGTGCTAATCCCAAATCCACTCATGCATCTATGGTTTTCATGTGTCTCTAGTTCACCTTAAAGGCATCATTGTCATTTCATGTTAGAGAAAATTACCAATCATCCCCCTGGGGCATCCCTTCCACAGCCATCAGGTCAATGCTGACTCATAGTGACTCTACAGAGCAGGGTAGAACTGCCTCTGAGTGTGCCTGCCTGCAGAGCTACCTGGTGGTTTCAAACTGACCTTGTCGTTAGCAGCCCAATGTGTAACCCACTATGCATTGATAGTGTCATTAGTTTGACCAGTAGTATCGAATTTAAAACACTGTTGAGAAAAGGAAACTATACAAGTACAGCCCTAGCTATGAACTGCAATACGTGAATTGTTGACTTGTATGGGTTGGATCTTAAATAAATGGAAGAACTTCTAGCTCCTTATGGGAGTAGAAAGCCCCAGGTTTCTCCCTTAGATTGGCTGGTGGTTTTGAATTGCTGATCCTGCAGCTAGCAGGCCACTGGGTAGCCACTATGCTACCAAGGCTCTTTGGATTTTTTAAACCCCTAGAATGAGGGCTCAAAAACCTGTTGGTCAATACTGTAGGCTTTGTGGGCCACATGGGTTCTTTCACTACTGTAGTACAAAAGCAGCCAACATAATATGAGGGGAGTCAAAAAGTACTGCTGCGGCTAGTCTCGTCTACACATACACCAGAACCAGAATTTTTGGTTTATTCTAACCAAAATGTTTTGTTGTTGTTCTGTTTTAACTTTTTATTGATAATGTGTGTTTAAATGTGTCTCTGTGATCAATGGATGGCTGCAGACACGTTCTCTCAGTAATACACTTGTCTTAGTTTCTTTATGGTGCCTTAAAAACAAGATACTTTGTGCCATGGGAATAAAACTATTTTATGATCAGGTCTATTAACACAATTGTAACAAAACTACTCCAAACTCATAAAAGCTTTGCAGCAATTTTTTGGAAATGCTGACCCACAAAAAATAACAATTTTTATATGGATCCAGTGTTTTAAGAAAGGTTGGGAAGACCTCAAGGGATGTCAACTTTGATGAATAGAGAAACTGGCTGAAGTCCAGAAACCGGTGGAAGAATGACCATTGATACAATAACTACTGAAGCCAGGATCTCACACAGTTCTGCTTTTTAAATTTTAAGCCATTATCTTGGTCTCAGCAAGCTTTCAGCTCAATGGATGCCAAAATGTTATGTAAAGACCAGCTAACTAAGACTTTTGAGCAAGACTTTCACCAGACTTTTAAGCAAGACTGAAGCTAAAGTATGGAATGAATACTACTGTATGGAATGAAGAGAGCATCTTCCAATCATAACAAATGCCACGGGAATCTGCTGGGCCAGTTTATTTCAAGGTACAGAGGTAAGCAGGCAGTTGGAGAGATTATTGGGACCCCAAAGGGGGAATTTTGAGGAGACCAAATAAGATCTTATAATGAAATGTGCAAGACGACAGGCAGAAAGGCAAAAAGGCAGAGCATGCTCAATATATTTTAAAATGAAAGAACTAAAGAAAAATGAAAACTTGTAATTTTAACACTGAAAGATTCTATGGGCAAAATATTCAATGACGCAGGAAGTATTACAAAAAAAAAGATAGAAAAAATACAGTCACTGGACCAAAAAGAATAGTGAGCCATTTCAAGAGATAGCATAGGATCAAGAACCAATGGCAGTGAAGGAAGAAGTCCAAACTGGACTGACAACAGTAACCACAAACAAGCCTCCAGGAGTGGATGGAACACCTGGTGAAATATCTCAACCAGCTGATGAACCACCAGAAGCACTCACTCTGTGTCCCAGCGTCTGGAAGACACCTACTTGGCCAACTGACGAGGCAAGCTCTATCTTTCCCCATTCCAAAGAAAGATGACCCAACAGAATGCACAAATTATAGAACAGTATCGTTGACATCACACACATGTAAAATCCTGCTGAAGATCACACAACAACTGTTGCAGCAGTACAATGGCAGGGAACTGCCAGAGGGTCAAGCCTAAAGAACAGACAAATCTGTCTTGGAAGTAGAACCAGATTGCTCCAGAGGCAAGGATAATGAAAGTTGGTCTCATGTACTTTGGACATGTTGTCAGAAGAGACCAGTCCCTGCAGAAGGACATCATGCTTGGTGAAGTAGAAAGATAGTGAAAGAGGAAGGCCCTCAATAAGATGGATTGACACAATGGCTGCAACAGTAGGCTCGCACAGAAGAACAGTAAGGATGGCACAGGGCCATCCTGTGTTGTACATAGGGGCAACATGAGTTGGAACTGCCATGCAGCCAACAATGACAACAAAAACAACAACCTTCTAAAGAAATGCACCTTTAGAGTTAAATGAAGATTCTTCATTTCATATTGAGGTCTCACCAGATAACCCAACATCCATAATTCTACCAACAATTTCTTTAAGACTATCTAAGCATACTGAAATTCCTCCAAAACCTCTTCTACACTATAGGTATTTGTTAGAATAGCGCTCTCCTCCTAGAACCAAATTTTGTGTTTGTTACCTAGTGTAATTGCAAGAAAAATTACCATTAGAAGGTGACTACAGGTAAGAATTCAATGTTAAGTGTGTTGCAGTATTTTGAAATAATTAAATGCTTAAAATATAAGCATGCTCCATAAAGTTCATGGAAAATTTGTTTTCAATCCATTTTTCCATGAATTTTTTGAAGTCACTTCAATTCTCAGAAGTTTTCATCACTTTGAAGCAGAGCCGCTCAAAACATGAAAGACTATGAGAATGGCAGCTTGACAACTGAGAAACCAATGAACTCATTTTCAAAGGAAATACTATTACTTACATAATTTATGTTTTACTAAGTTTAGTGGAATCCATCCAAATAAAATGTTCAGCAAGATATTCCCTAAATATGTACAATCAAGATCTTAAATTCCTTGAGGGAATAATCTTTTTTTGCTATTTTAGCACAGAGAAAATTTCAAAACAATCAACCTGTATGAATACTTCAAAATTAGTGATAAATAAATAGCTATATAATTAGGTTTTATCATCCAAATCAGAGTAGGTTTTTTCAATGAAAACTAAACTTGGAAATTACAAAATTAATGAAGAGGCCAAACATTAATTTTGTTATTTATACTAGCAGTCTCTAATTTTACTAGTTGCTGTTGAGTTGATTCTGACTCACGGCAACCCAGTATGTGTCAGTGCAGAACTGTGTTCCTTCAGATTTTCATCGGCTGATATTTCAGAAGTAGAGTGCCAGGCCTTTCTTCCAAGACACCTCTGGTGGGCCTGGTTAACAGCCAAATGGCATTAATCGTTTGAATCACCAAGGAGTTCTATTTATCTATAATCCCAAGCCCACTGCCATCAACTCAATTCTGACCTCATAGCAACCCTATATAGAGTTTGCAAGGCTGTAAATCTTTACAGGAGCAGAGAGTCCCAATTACCTCCTGCAAAGCAGCTGGTGAGTTTGAACCACTGACCTTCTGGTTACCAGTCCAATATTTACTCAACAGCACCAATGAACTCCCTTATTTATCTATAATAAATATCATATATACTCATGTATAAGCCGAGGTTTTCAGCACATTTTTAATGTAGTTTTTGTGGTAAAATTAGGCGCCTCTGCAGATATTCGGGTCGGCATAAACTCATGTATATACAGTACTATTAAAAATACTGATTTAAAAAAGATATATTTTACTGTCTACTAAAATCAGTGTAGGGGGATTTATTGCTAAAGCTATCCCACTTAAAACCTAATTGTTCAAGCAACACTTTTAAAACAAAGTAATTCATGAATTATGCCCCACCCCACCTCAAAGTTATGTTTAAAGGTCTAGCCCCTGTACCTATTTATATGACATGGTAAAGAAATCGAGTTTGTTATGTTAATGATATTATACCAAAGTAAAGTGGGTCCTAAACTTAATGGCGTCTGGGTGATGGCTTATGAAAACAGTATAACATAGACAGACACACTTGGGGGAAGAGAGGTGTCATGGAAGAGAAGCCTATGAACAGACAACGAATGCTCAGGGCCACAAAAGCAAAAAGGAACCAGGTCTGCCCTGGAGCCAAGAGAGAGAGAGAGAACCTAAACCTGTCAACATCCTGAAACTGGACTCTTAGCCTCAAAAAGTGAGACACACAAATCCTGTTCTTTAAAACACATCCACTCCTAACAGTTAGTTAGCATAACTAACTAAAACCCACTGCCATTAAGTCTAACTCACAGTGGCCCTGTAACACAGACAAGAACTGCCCCCAGAGTTTCCAAGACTATCATTTTCACAGAAAGAGACTGTCACTTTCCTCTTTCGGACCAGCTGCTGGATTTGTATTACCCCATCTTTCGCATCAAAGCGCTTTAGCCACTGTGCCACCAAGGGCCCGTTTGTTATAGCAGCGCAAAAAAAATGATTAATTAAAAGAAATAATTGTTTGGCTACCTTAAATACTAATATTTTATAATCTCCCAATCTTTTCACAAGTGGGATATGTCTAAACACTCTACCCATCAGAAGATTTCTACTTCGATATTAGATGATACTGTAAAACTCATTGTGCTAGGCGTATGGAATTTTCACAGAGCAAATTTAATAAATACCAAAGTGCTCAAGATGATGTGTAGTTTACATTATTCCTATAGATTATGGTCACAGCCTAGGCTATATGAGTTTTTTTTCCCACCTCACTGCAGTGGTTGCTGGCTTGTGCTTTATGAAATTCAAAAGAATAGAAATACCTTTTGGCACATGACATAGTGCAGAATCGTTTTGACCGCAGAAATTCATTCGCATATCCCATCTTCCCACAGAATTCACACTTGAGCAACTCACTGTCCATTTCTTCTAATGTCTCTAAAAAAAAGAGGGAAGCAAAGGGGGGAAAGATCCAAAATTTTAATTGTAGCAAGTCTTCTTTTAGTCACTAGTTCGGTTAGATATGCTGGTTCACACCAATTGGCTCTTTAACTTTTCAATTCACAACTACTCTGGCCCGATTCACCTCCATTCAACAGCCAACTCCACCAAATCCCTCTATCTTTCCCTGTCTCTGCACATACAGATTGTCCATATCAATAAATATTAGTGTTAAGATTCTCCCATGTCTAAAATGTGCATTCACCATGAGAGAAGATGAAGATGAAGAATAAGGCACAGCCACTACCCTCCAGAAGAAACGTGCAAACACTCGTGGGGTGTGGGCTCTGCACAGAGGTCATTGGGGGTTGGGTGTATATGGCAGGGAATGAAGATGGCTTCAAAGAGATTCTGACAGTTTGACTTTAGTGGCACATATCAAAGTATTGATTATATATATCTTTATATACTATATCCCATGGAATATATAAAGATATGTTTCTAATTCTGTTGGGCGGCTAACTGCAGAGTCAACTGTTCAAAACCACCAGCTGCTCTGTGGGAGAAAGACAAGGATTTCTACTCCTGTAAAGATTTAGTTTTGGAAACTCACAGGGCAGTTCTAACCTGGGTCTCTTTGAGTCAGAATTGACTCGGTGGCAGTGAGTTTTTGGAGTTTGGTTTTATATAGAGTATATAATGTGCAATGCATGTATATGTAAACATATATGTGCATATGCCATGGTATACATATATGTATGCACCTAACTATATTCCATGGACTGGAGTCCTGATCAGGTCGTGGTTACACTTGGGCTGCTCACCGCAAGATCAACAGTTCAAAACTACCAGTGGCTTCGAGGTGGAAAGACAAGGCTTTCCACTCGTAAAGAGTTAGTGTCTGAGAAACCCACACCGGTGATCTAGCCTGTTCTGTAGTGTTGCTAGCAGCTGGAATGGGCTTGATGGCAGTGAGGTTCGGGGTTATAACCCATGGAATACAAAGAGTTAATAAGCATGGCTCCAACACAGCAGGAACAGTGAGGATAAAGCAGGGCTTTGAAAGGCTTTGTGAGTCACTGTGAGACAGAATCCACTCCCTGGCACCTAGCGGCAGCAACATATAGTTAATGACAAAAGACCTTTTTAGTTCTATTGCAACAAAAATTACTTTGGACTAATTTTTTTAATTACTTGTAGCTTTAAATTTGCATCCCGACGTCCCTTTCAGGGTGTTCCCTGTTCAAATATCTTTTCTCTAAATCTACATCCATTACTTTCTTCAGGTCCTAGGAAGAAACATCCAGCCTAAGTGCTACATAATCTTCAGTGCTACTCAGCAGTCACCAAAACCAAGTGACTTCATCTTCATGACTGAGCTTTCTCATCGGTCCGGTTGATCATGCCTTTCTTATGAGCTGCCGTGAAGATCAGTGGGTGGTCAATGGATAGCAGGCCTAAGAAAGTGACCGTTCCCTTTCCACACAAGAACTGAAAGAGTGCTAGGACCTATAACAAGTGCTCAAGAAATACTTAAGTGAAACCTGTCACATTCTTTAAACAACTCTATTTTGTCACTTTCTTACATCATCATAACTTCCATGCCAAATCATGTGAAATTTATGTACCAAAACACATGACAGGTCAAGAGGAAGACAGGGGCACAGATGAAAAGTACTCGAAATCGTCTCACCAAGTAAAGTGACAAAAGCCCCTTCCCCTGAGCGAAAGAGGGTTTCTACCAGGCTCTTTCTACCTAGTCAGAACATCGGCCAACACAGTCAGGGGACCCAATGTCCTGACTCCCAGAAGTACTGTCATACCCGTAATCGTGAAAAACCAAACACCTGAACCTGACACAGAACCCTAACCCTCTCACTCCAACATCACTGCGACCAATTCAGCCCTAGAGCCCACTCCTCCAGCTCCACGTCTAGGCTGTACTGAGCGTTTTGTTACAAAAGGTTTTATTAGTTAGTATAGCACTGTGCAACATATGGAGGTTATGAAGCTTCATGAAGGAGAAAGAACTGTTCTTGCTGATGAGAAAGAGGAGAGCCCAAGCACATGCTTTCTAAGGATTAAGGACTTAACAAAAACAGAACATCCACTGACTTTCTCATAAAGATGACAGGAGTGACAGGGAGGGTAGGAATATACCAGTGAATATACATAGGTTTGACAGAGCATATTTGTACATTTGAATTTCTCTTTGCTGCAAATATATACATGAATGTAGTATGAAGCATATAGGGAGCAAAGTTATGACTACTTGTTAGATGTAACCAAGCACCTTAAAGGAATGAGTCCCTGGGTCTGGTGGACCACAGACACTGGGGACATCATGGCCAATAGGCATAGCACAGTCCAAAAAGACAATGTTTTGCATCCTACTCTGGTGAGCAGCAGCTGGGGTCTTAAAAGTTTGTGAGTTGCCATCTGAAGTACAACTATTGGTGTCTCTCTGCGTCCACACAAAAGAAGAGTGAAGAAACTTGAAGATGCATGGAAATAATTAGTCCAATTGGCTAACAGACTGTCTGTGAGGTCAGAAGAATAAGATGGTGCCTGGCTACCACTACACCAACTGCTCTGGAAAGGACCTTGACAGGGAGTGGATAGAATGGGAGGAAAATACAGAGGGAAACATTTTTAAAAACCATTTAAAAACACAAAACCGTCCTACTAGTCACATAAAGAAACTGTTGAAACTCCTGCGTCTATGGCCCTTAATCACCCTTCAGGGTCTGAAATGAACTCATTCCTATGGCTCAATTTTCAGCCAAACAATAAACAGACCCATAAGCGACAGTAATACTATGCAGGTCCCTATGCATATTACAATAATCAGAGATTTGGGGTCACAAGGGCAGCATTTACTCTAGGACAAAGTTCAGAAGGGTTAGGAAAGAAGGAAGAATGGAAACTAGAAATGTAAGGAGGAAACAGGATATATGATGTTACCTTGTGGGAACTGCAATCAATCACATGAAACAAAATATTTATGAATTGTTCAATGGAAAATTGGTGTTTCTGCAAACCTCCACCTAATTCACACTAAACTGATAAAAAAGACTTTATTTCTTCTAAGAGATTGAAACACTAACAGATCAGATATCCTTTGTGTGCTTCTTCATGGTGCTCTAGCCAACAATGTTCTTCCTGTTTGTTACTTTAAATCTATGCTTTATTACCCGAGACTCAGGTTAAAGCACATGCCACCATATTGGGAAGTCTCAGCCAGTTTTAAAGTTCTAAATCCATCTGTCTGTATCATTAACTTAAGTTTCTGCTCCTTAGTTAATCTTTTTACTATGGAAATTCTCTAGTTCCACACAAAATTAAAAGTTCTTTCAGGGAACAGAACTGTATCTTACTTCTATAAAATAGTTCTTAACTTGTAGCAGAGTATTGTATATGCTACATATGACTATTATAAGCGTTGAGTATCATGATATATAAGGAACTCTGATGACATCATGAATTATGCTTTGAAACCACCAGCAGCTCCGTGGGAGAACGATGAGGCTTTCTACTCCTGTGAAGTTATAGTTTGGGAAACCCAAAGGGGCAGTTCTACTCTCCCCTCTAAGTTGGCATCAACTCTATGACAGTTTTTGACAATCATGATATATCCTATGAAACTTCTTAGCAGTTTTCTATTCCGTGTCCTACCCCTGTGTGAGCACCAGATGGCATATTACAACCACTTTTAAGCCTAGAATTTTCATTTCCACAATACTATAGATATAAGCAAGAAAAAAAAAATGCTTGTACATTTTCACTTCAAATAAAAAACATTTCTCACGTAAATTAGTATTTGAAACTAAAAGTAGGCATTCAGGGATTAGATAAGATTTACTTAATAATAACAAGAGGTAAAATGTAGACCTTGACTGGATTTTAAGAAGAACCAAATACCTATAAAGGGGCATTTTTAAAAGATCATGGGAAGTCTGACTATGGAGTTAGTATTGGTACATGTGAGATCACATTGTAGTTATGTTAAGAAAACATACACTTTTGGAGGGACGCACACTGAAGTATACAGTGGTGAAATAAAACAAGGACTACAGACTTTAAAGCACTAGAGAGAAAGATTGGGAAAAGGCAGGAGGGTAGCCGAAATGCATGGATGAAGCAAGTATGGCAAAATAATGTTGGAATCTGGTGCTAATGCTGAGTCTGCTGGAATGTAGTAGCCTCATTATACAATTACATTTGTATCTACATTGGAAAATTCTCATGGTTAACATCCCTGTAAATATAAAATATTAAACTGAACTCAGTAGAAAGCAGTAAAACTCAAAGTTTACACCATTATAACTCTACTATTCAATCAGTGAATGGAGAGTAATTAAAACCTTGTGACAATTTACAATGATAGATGTACATTCCTCTAAAGAATTATGAAAAATGTGAACAGAGGCAATAAATATCTACTTGGCTTACCAAATGCCTATTTTGTTTAATTTAGCAAAATACAGGCATATAATACATGCTTAGTAAGGATTTGCCAAAAAGTTCATTTTAGATGAAATATACTGAGGATTATGACTTACAGTTGTTAATTAATGCACTACGATAGAACCTATACTAAATGTTATGTTTTTTAATGCCAACAAGTTAATTCTGAATCATTACAAGCCTATGGGACAAGATAGACCTGTACCATAGATTTCTTAAGATTGTAAACCTGCACAGATGCAAACTGTCTCATGTTTCTTCCTTTAAGGGGCTGGTAGGATTCAAATAGCTGACTGCTTAATCACTGCACCACCAGAAACTCTTTAAATGAAATTCTCACTCAGTACCACCCCTTGTCTATCAGTTTGTCACACTGTGGTGGCTTGTGTGTTGCTGTGAAGCTGGAAGCTATGTCGTTGGTATTTCAAATACCAGCAGGGTCACCATAGTAAGCAGTTTATACTGGGAGGGTGAGTTGGAAAGGGGGAACCGATTACAAAGATCTACATGTAACCTGCTCCCTGGGGGATGGACAGCAGAGAGGTGGGTGAGGGAGGCGTTGGACAGTGCAAAATATGACAAAATAATAATTTATAAATTATCAAAGGTTCATGAAGGAGGGGGGAGCGGGGAGGGAGGGGAAAAAATGAGGAGCTGATGCCAGGGGCTTAAGTGGAGAGCAGATGTTTTGAGAATGATGAGGGCAATGAATGTGCAGGTGTGCTTTACACAACTGAGGTATGTATGGATTGTGATAAGAGTTGTATGAGCCTCTAAGAAAATGATTAAAAATAATAATAATAAGTGAACAGTTTTCAGCAGAGCTTCCAGAGTAAGACAGACTACGAAAAAGGAATCGGCTACCCACTTCAGAGGAAGTAACTGATGAAAATCTTATGTATAGCTTCAAAACCTTATCAGATATTCAAGGCCTAATGAATGGAAACAGAACATTGTTGGTGGTAGTGCCCAAGGATGAGCCTCTCAGGTCAGAAGGCATTCAAAATGTAACTGAAAAGAAGCTACTTTCCTGGGATGGAGTCGACCAAGGTGTCGTGAGTGGGGTAAAGTCTGTGGGAGTGGAGACTCGAATCTTCCATTGCCGATGGGGCACATAACAAGGGAAGGAGAAACAGCTGCAAAAATCTGCAAATGATCAGAACCTGGAATGTGTGAAGAAGTATGGATCTAGGAAAACTGGAAGTTGTCAAAAACGAAATACAGCACCTAAAGATCGGTATCCTAGAAATTAGTGAGCTGAAATGGACTGATATTGGCCACTTTTACTAAAAAATGGATTTACTATTCCAGGAATAACACAGCCAAGAGGAAGGACATTTCAAAATCAATCTTGAGAGATAATGCTGTCTGTGATAGGATTATATCTGTCTGCTTTCAAGGAAATCCAATGAATACAATATTATTCAAATTTATGGACCAATCACAAAAGATAGTGATGAAGAACTTAAAGAATTCTGCCAACATCATCAGAAGTTGATGAAATATGCAATCAAGATGCAATGATAATTACCGTCGATTGGAATACAAAAGTTGGAAATAAAGAGAAAAGAACAGTTGGAAAATATGGACTCGAAAATAGAAATGAAGCTGGAGATCACATGATAGAATTCTGCAAAACCAACTACTTGTTCAGAGCAGATACCTTTGTACAACTCAAAATGGACTTCTCCAGGTGGCATACACAGAAATCAAACTGACTACATTTATGGGAAGAGATGCTGGAAAAGCTCAGTATCAGCAGCTAAAACCAGGCCAGGGGCTGACTATGGAACAGACCACAAATTGTTCATATGCAAGTTCAGGTTAAAGCTGAAGAAAATGGAAACAAGTCTATGAGAGTCGAAATGTGACCTTGAGTCGATTCCACCTGAATTTTGAGAACATCTCAAGAACATATTTGACACACTGAACACTAATTGCAGAAGACCTGATCAGCTGTGGGAGGACATCAAGAACATCATTCATGATGAAAGCAAAAGGTCATTAAAAAGACAGGAAAGAAAGAGAAGATCCAAGTAGATGTCAGAAAAGACTCTGAAATCCTAGAGTAGCTAAAGCAAATGGAAAGCATGATGAAATCAAAGACCTGAATAGAACATTTTAAAGGGTAGCTTGAGAAGATAAAGTAAAATATATAATGAAATGTGCAGATCTAGAGTTAGAAAGCCAAAAAGGAAGAGCATGCTCAGCACATCTTAAACTGAGAGAGCTCAAGAAAACATTTAAGCTTCAAGTTGCAATACTGAAGGATTCTATAGGCAAACTATTGAATGATATATCAAGCAACGAGAAGATGGAAAGAATACAGTCCCTTTACCCAAAAGAACCAGTCCACATTCCACCTTTTGAAGGGGTAGCATATGAGCAAGAACCAATGGTACTGAAGGAAGAAGTTCAAGCTGCAAACATTAGCCCAAAACAAGGGTCCAGGAATTGATGGAACACCTACTGAAATATTTCAACAAGCTAATGAAGCCCCAGGAGCATTTACTCATCTATGCAAGGAAAATTGTAAGACAGCTACTTGGCCAACTGACTGGAAAAGATCTTTATTTACACCCACTCCAAAGAAAGATGATCCAAGAGAATTCTCAACTATAGAACAATATCATTGATACATATGCAAGTAAAATTTTGCTGAAGTTCATCCAGCAATGATTGCAGCAGTACATTGATAGAATTGTACCACCAGGATTGGAAGAAGGCTTACTAACAACCTTAAGTATTCAGATGACACAACCTTGCTTGCTGAAAGTGAGGAGAACTTGAAGCACTTGCTGATGCAGATAGAAGGATGCTGTTTTCATTGTGGATTACAACTCATTGTGAAGACGAGCACAGTCCTCACAAATTGACCTAACACCATGAACAATGGAGAGAAGGCCGAGTTGTCAAGGATTTTACCTTGCTTGGATCCACAATCAATGCTCATGGAAGCAGTAACCAAGAGATCAAAAGATGCATTGCACTAGGTAAATCTGCTTTCCTGTTGTTTGGGACAAATTATACAACATATGAGACTAAAACAGTGAAAAGTAGCAAATGAAAAAATCTGTGTAGGTTAAAACTCCAAGTCCCTTCTCAAACACGAAAAGGGGAAGTCAACTTAATTGAAAGGTATCTGAAGTGAAGTCCACACACCTTCAGCAATCATGTCTTCCATCTCCGTGTCCGAGGAATTGTCTGCGTGTTTTGTGTGATTCTGCAGCTCTGGCTGAATGCACACTGAATCTATCACCTGACTATCCAAAAGAGGCCTTTTCTTCACAGGCTGTTCTATTAGTAAAGACGAACGACTCACCTTTAAAAGGGAGAGAGAAGAAAATTAAATGTTTAAAAATACATTCAAAAGTACGTTGTTTTATAAACCCTCTTGAAGTGAATGATATCTATGACAATTTACTTGTTCGGCTAATCAGATCCATTCATTAAAGGGGTTATTCCTTAAGGAAAGCTTAGGCAATTTGGATACAAGTGCTTATTCTCAAGACACCAGCAAAGTCTTAGTCAAGTGGAATTTAGGGTTCTAGAAAAAAAAGTCTTAAATTTTAGTAATGGCCAAAACTAATACTAATC